TTGGGAGGCGAAGAAGAGATCGTGTCAGTAGTGTCTTCCCTCTCTGAGCCGTTTATTTTCCTCTTCTTCGGAGATGTGATGTTACCGCTGTCGTTTTTGACATCAGTAGCCGCTGGTCTAGCCTCCTGGGTTGGCGGTGGTGGGGGATTAGGGGAAGATAAACCTGTTGGAAACATGAAAAAACGGGAATACTAATTCTTAACAGCCAGTCTTCTGATCCGAAACTTCCAGTCCTGCCGGGGGATGAGCTCAGTGTCCGACAGCTTGTATCTAGCTAAACACGGCGAGGTTTCAACCAAGTCCTTTATCCGGTATAAAACAGACAATAAATTGTAAACTACACAGCTCCACTTGAACCTAGCCTTGTCTCTTTCTTGTTATTGCTGGCAGAAGAAGAAAGATGGTTGGCTATTGCTTCCTCTTTTTGCCTCTCGTGTCTAACCGCGTTGTCCAGTCGTTAAGTGAGAGCGGTTAACTCAAGTGGCCGTTAACGGTTATTATTTACAACACAAATGTAGCTACGGCGAAAAACAGGCTGACATGACACTAAAATATCCGTTGGTAAACACGGGAAAAATTCGCTCATAAAAAGCTAGTCGGTGACCCCACCGGAAGTACTTTGTACAAAAGTACTTTTTGCACAAGCGTGTTTTTTTTAAAAACCGACTACAGTGATGTAACGGCTCCGGCCACAAGATGGCGCCGATCAGACAGCCAACTGATGTCATTCTTTCTGGTGGTGAATTCACCAAACATGAATGAATGAGGATCAATCAGCTGCTCAGTTACTATTAATGTATGAATGGATGTACATATGTTGTATTTAACATTTTAAAAAACAAAAATATAATAACTGATTTATTAAAGACAAACTCACGAGCATTGTTTCTCCATCATCAAAGTAATTTTGTTTTGCTTCTTTCATTAAAAAACTACTTTACAAATTCTATTTCATTTTCATAATTTATATTCACATGTTCCCTGGCCACTATATCTAGACCATATCCTCTGCTACATCACTGTTACTACTTTGGCTTATTTTTAGATTTTTATTTTATTAATTTTTATTTATTTATTTATTTTGCCTAAATGTGCTGTTATAAATGTTCAGATTTTCTAAATGTAATTTTCTCAGTTTTTCAGTTTCTCATTATGCTTGCACTATGAACAGTCTATGGAGGTCATAAATGAGCATTTCACTTCACATTATTTATGATTAGATAAACGTGTGTTGTGTTCAATGTGAAATACAGTGGCACACAACTTTGTGATGCACTGTGTTACAAACACATCAACAAGATGTCACATCAGATATTAGAATTTATATAACATGACCTGTTAAAATGTACTTGAGAGATTTAGAATTTATATGGATAACATGTGTGGTTATTAAATTCAGATTAAGGAAACAAATGGCCAAATTCAGGGACTCTCTTTCCCTATTTTTATCATGAATTAAATTTTACAGCACTACTGTATGCCAGAGTCAGCTCTAATGGCCAAGTATGTGTATGCGTACAAGGAATTTGACTTCGGTTTTATCTTGCTCTCAATGTTACACACAGTTCCAGTAAAAATGAAGACAGAAATAAACACACAACAATGAGCAAAAAGCTGAACAAAGACAGGATACACACACATACAAGGTAAAAATAGGATATAAATATTGAATGTATATATAAAAAGCAACAATGACCAACAACATACAATGGCTATATACAAGCCAAAATGTGTAAACTGAAACAAATACAGAACATGTACACATGTGTTATGCACAGTATTAAAATATGAGATGTTAGAAATGAAATTATGTGCTCAAATGAATATAGAGTTTTTTCAAAAGATAAGTTTTGGTAAGTAGCCTGTAGCCTAGTAATTTTCTTTTAAATGACAAACTGATTAATCAAATATTCACTGAAGTTCTACCATGACGTTTACAAAAATTTGATAAGCAACCACATTCAGATTTCACCAAAGCATATAATGTTTTAATAGGATTTTTAGAACTTATTTGCCTGTTTTAGTTCTGTTCAATGAGCAATGAGTGCTTCTACTTAACAAATTCAGAATTCCTGTGTGCATTTTAAACTCTACATATATAATTTATAATTTGTAGGTAAGGGAATATTTTAGTGCAACAGAATTATTGCACACTATGTAAAATAAAATCTAAAGATTATATTCTGCATTTCAGTTCAGTAACCGAAGTTACCGTGGTGACAGGACCTGCCGTGTAACGTCAACGGCTGTCGTAAAATGACGGATCCCTCATACTGCTGGCCCTACGCTGCTAAACAGGCGTGGAATAGCTATAGCATTACTTGATAAATGAATTGTATTCTCTCATTAATTGTGTTTACCGTACCTCATCTGCCGCAGTGAGACCTGACAGGCTTTGTCACAACTGAGGAACGCGCCGAGAGCGACCATCGAGGATGTTTAAAAAGTACGGTGCTAATTATTTCCATGTTGTAGCGTTAGCTAACCACAGCTAGGTGGCTAACGCTAATTGAGCAGCTAGCTAGCTTCCTCAAGTTTATTGTAGGCTCAAGTTCAGCTAATAAAACATGAGTTATGATACGTTGTAAGATCCTCTGCTGTTATATTGAATCAGGCCTAAAATGCATCAGTGCTGTGTGATTTAATGGTAATTCATTCATGTTTCTGAACTAACGGTGGACAATAAAAACCAAGTGTCATCTTGACAGTATGAGAAACATTCAGGCAGATCTCACACTAGCTAAGCTTATTTCCTCCTACTTTCACCTCTTGTCTACAAAGCTCCCAAAACTACCCCCTTATAAGGGTGTATTACAATTAAAGATTTGTATTGATGCATAATTGTTTGTACCATATATGTATGTATTCATGTATCTTGCATGTCAAAGGAAATAAATTAGACTAAGACTACAATTACTGTCTCTTTCCAATGTACAGCCTGCATACTGTGTAGTGGTTAATATCTGCCATAGTGGAACTAAATCATCTCTGTTCACTGCCATTATTTGCCTCAATGTGGAGTCAGTGTGCTCCACTGTGACATACTTGATTGTGACACATTTAGGCCTACAGTATAGTAGTTAATGCATGTGGTATATTGATACCACAAAACAGGATTACATTTTGTTGTAAAAAAGATTCCTACCGTATGATGGACAAGCCACAAATGCAGGTTTGGAAATTAGCATCAGCCACCAGCCAAAACAATAATGGTAATCTACTGAGAAGCAGGTAGATTTTGGGATCCATCAGCCACAGTGGCAGGTGGACAAAAACTTAATTTCCATCCCTGCACAAAAGCTTGTTCTGTTTTCTATCTGCATTTGTTGTAAACACAGTATACAAAAGCATTTTCCGTTTCCTATTTCAGATTTGACGAGAAAGAAAATGTATCGAACTGCATCCAGCTGAAAACATCAGTGATCAAAGGCATCAAAAACCAGCTGTTGGAACAGTTTCCTGACATCGAGTCATGGCTCAATCACATAATGCCCAAAAAGGACCCTGTCAAAATAGTGAGATGGTATGACCTTTTATTTTCATCATCAAGGCTGTCATATGCAATTCAAAGCATTGTCTTCTACAGTTTTAATATTTTTTTTCTTCCCACAGCCATGAACACATTGAAATCTTGACAGTGAATGGAGAGCTGCTTTTCTTCAGACAGAGAGAAGGACCATTCTACCCAACCCTCAGACTGTTGCATAAATGTAAGATCTTCTAATGCCAGCTGCTTGGTGGATGGTTTTGAGTTCCCTCACCCTGATAACAAATGCTCTTTTCCTCTCGCAGATCCTTTCATTCTTCCACACCAGCAAGTAGACAAGGGGGCCATTAAATTTGTCTTAAGTGGAGCCAACATCATGTGCCCCGGGCTGACGTCCCCAGGTGCTAAACTTTACCCAGCTGGAGCTGACACAGTAGTTGTATCCTTTTATACAAGATTTGATTTCCTCCTGTGCTGTATTTTTTCCCAACTTCACAATGAAAAATGTCACCTTCCTCCACATTTTACATCACTTACCCATATGTTTGTCTTTAACAAGTGGATGCAGGCCATAATGGCAGAGGGAAAACAACATGCACTTTGTGTTGGCGTGATGAAAATGTCTGCAGAAAGCATGTAAGCTTTTATTTCCTGCATTATACAGAAGCCCAAAAAGAAATCCTTCCTACTGCTGCTCTAGTGACGCTTATCTTTATCTGCCTTTCGCAAACAGAGAAAAAGTCAACAAGGGAATTGGAATCGAGAACGTTCACTATCTGAATGACGGACTGTGGCACATGAAGACGTATAAATGACGACATCAGCACCTGCAGCGCCCGCCCCCACCCACCGCCATAAAGTGTGGAGCTCTTGACAGCGACACACGAGCTGCCCGTCACCTGTTTACACCTGAGGACTTAGCTGTGTAACCTGCTGAACGCTTTGAATCAATCGCCAACATGCACAAATAAAAGAAAGATCTTGCTTTAAACTTTAATCTCAGTTGGTATTTTGCATCACATCCAATTAAAGATGCTCACATAATTTAACTGGTAATATTCAATACCTCAGGCAAAACTTGATGACCTGGTTTTCATGTATTGTAGTGCAAACTTGAAATAATGATGTAGCCTGTCTGCTCCTTAATCCAGGATGCGAGCATATTTACATAATGGCTGAAGGAGTGGTCGGGTGGTTCAACTGTTAGACCTGCTGTTCTGCTCCTCTGTAGTGAGTAAAGGTCGACACTGTGGTTACTGTCTGGTAAAGTCAGGTGAAATTAGGTACACAGCTAAAAATAATGCAGTTAAATACAACAACAGCCCTTGGGAATTAAATTTCCCAAGAATGCGGGAATCAAGTGTTAAAATTTTCTGGTACAGGACCCCAAACCCCGTGTTTAACATGCACCCTCCCCCACCTGTGTTGAAACTTCCACCCTTGCTTGGTTGAATGTACACCGTCACTCATGCACAGTAGTGTTGATGACCTTTGTAATATTCTGACTAGGGCATCAATGACAGCTGTAATATTTTATTCTTTTCTTATCTGACAGCAGAAAAACATTAAGATAAAACAACACGGTGGTCACGGCAGAACATAAAAAGAGGGAAGGAGTACATTCACAACATTATATGGAATTTGTTCAGCCTAACAAAGCAGTCTTAACTGTAAAAAATATTTCCATTTATCAAAAATCATTCACAGTATTCTTGACAACTTATACACCTGGAGCCAGTGCTCATTCTCACCTTTTAAACAGTCATTGTTGGATCAGTCAACGCCACAGAACTGCATTAAATTAATTTTATTTTGTTATCCAAAAGTCACTTTTTTTTCCAGAGTTTTTTTTTTTTTTAAAATAAGTGGAACGATGACATTTCCACTGATTTTTGGGTCTTACTTTAAGGTCTGGTGTGAAGCATTAAACAACATCAAATGGAAAGGTTGCAGAACTGAAATTTCTCCCGTGTGCCAAGTGTGTAGGAGAACTACAGTGGCTGACACAAAAATGAAAATGGCCCTCTCTAGAGCCAGTGTTAGGTTTGTCTGTTCATGTCAGTTAATGTAAACGATTCATTTTAGGGTAATGAAACCATGATTTAGTTTGAGGTGAATATAAACTAATGGGAACATGATTATGAATATTATATTCCATTTCTGCCAACAGACACCTCTAAATCCTACACACTAAACTTTAAACAGTTGTCTGTAGATCAACACTAGAAAACTACTTTATATTTAATCAGAAATTAATGTTATTATCCAAAAGTCACTTTTTATTTTGAAGGAGCCGTGTTTTTAAAATATCAGTGGAAGTTTCTTTTGGTCTTTTTTTAATGTGTGGTAACAGAAATACACTTTACCTGGATGTCAGCATTGAGGTACAGTAATTTCCATTTAGCTGTATTGACGAATTCTTCGTATTCTTCACTCGACTTAGAGCCGAGCCTAAGCTGACCCTTGATTACTGGTGCTTTCACACAATCTTTAAATCAGCTGGGTGATGAGCTCTCTCTATTCTCAGAGGTTTCAAAACCAGAGAAATGAGATTAATAATGTGGTTGAGATGGAGAAGCACTTTGAACAATTAAATCATTTCAGAAACTTTTCAGAAAATAGTCATCATCTGATGACTCTAATGCAGCTTTAAGACCACAGAAAGACAAACATCTAAGATAACAATAACCAAAACTTCCAGATAATCTAGTCCCATGTCACGAGTTTGACATACGTCCAAACTCTACCTTCATTCAAAAGGACGGCACACCCATAGACTGTTTACCTACACCACAATGGGGTGCTGATTGTGCCATGTGCAAAAGGTACAAATATACAAACAAGTGTTACTCCCACCCAGGATCCAGTTTAAGAAACAGAATTAGAAAACCATCTCCCCACAGTTAGGTTTGCCATCATAGAAGCAAAACATTTAAAATGCCACGTGCATCTTGAAGGAATGAGTCTCTAGTCATTATCTGAGCCTTCAGGAGGGTTAAATACTAATGAGTCATGAAAGTCGTGGCCATAAGGACGAAGTCTGTAAACTCCAAACATCATAACCTGCATTTGATTCGGTGACATCCCGTTGAATGTGACTGCCATATCGGAGCAGCAGCCCTCCACTACATTAGTGGGGTTATCCTTCATGCTGTCCGTTATCAGGGTGTTCACACTCTTGCTGTTGAACAGGCCCTTTCCGTGTGTGTCCTCACCGTTTTCTGCGAAGACACCTGTATATTTGAGACACACGGCCAGCTGCTTGTCCTCGCTCAGCTTCCACAGGGCACGCCCTCTTTCTGGACATTTGTCTTCGTCCTCGAACACACGCACTAACCTTTTCAGCGCTTCGTAGCTGAGAACAATGCCACTATCATACGACACATACTCAAGCTCCCCTGACTTCATAGCGTTGCCCAGGTAGAAGGGCTCACTGGGATCCTTTGCGAGCACCAGGTACTTGAGGTTCTCGATGATGGCAAACGTGGTAGCTTGTGCCACAAAGAACCAGCGCAGGTCTCCGGCGTTCTCATAAGCGTGCTTCAAGGCTTTACGTAACCTCGCCCAGTCATCTTTTTCATTCAGGTCCACTGCCTCAAGTGCCTTAGATGACTCAGAGGTGTAAAACACAGCCTTATCACAGTGTTTGCTCCAGGTGTCCACCGCAGTGGCCCAGTAAACAAGGATCTTGGGCTGGACCATGATGATGCAAGACACCCGGACTTGATTGCTCAACTCCTGCATGTGACTGTCAGAAAGGCGTGTCAGCTCGTCTTTACTTGGAGCCTTGACGTGATGGTGATGATGGTCGTCTGTCCTGGACTCCATGCCGGGGCTGAAACTACCCAGGAGCGACAGCACCAAGCAGAAGAGGCCTCCCATGACCATCCCCTTCATGAAAGAGCCTCCTTCGGACAACATCTTGGCAGAGGACACTGGACAAGAGAGAAAATACGTTAATGCTGCTGCTACTCAGTGTTATCCTACTTAAAGCTGAAAAGATTAAGTCATTATTCAGACAAAAAAGCCATACATGATCCATTCCAAGTTTATCAATTGTGACGATTTTCTGCTTTTCTTTGTGTAAGTAAGTTGGATATCTGGATTCTGGACTGCTGGTTAGACAAGTAATCTGGTGAAGCTTTAGGAAACTGTGATGGGCACTTCTCACTATTATTTGACACTAATTGATAAATAACCATCTTTGGTTGCAGCCCTAGTCATGTTTGTAGAGACATTTTGCTTTAAGAGGCACAAAAAATGACTGAAAAATAAAGCAGCTGGTGAAGTCTCAGCTAAAAACACTCAACAGATGACCTAAAGTTTTGATGTGACATTACAAATGTCCATCTGTTTCAGCTGTTTGTAATACTACTCGTCCTTTATACTCTTAGACGTACCGAATACTGCTGTTCTGTTCTTAGTTTTACAGACTCTGAAACCATCATACGCACTTTCATTTCCTCATGTTTAGATTACTGAAGTGGACTTCTAACAAACATAAATCAGAAATTGACTACTAACAAAGAGTCAGAAAAGAGATCATAAAACTCCCCTTTTAAAATGGACGAGCCCGAGTTCATTACAGAATTGATTTTAAGATTTTACTCATTGCCTTTAAAGCACAGAGCTTTTCAGCATTGTCATGATACTGGAAATTGTAACTTTAATACAATGCCTTGATGACCTTAATGTGAATGAATTGTCTTGCTGTGTTTTAACTTGTTTACACTGGCTGGTGTGTATGTTGTGTTTAAGACCTGAGCAGCTGAAGTACTTTAAAAGTGCTAGGTCAGGACGACACTAAAACTTCACATGGGTGTAAAAGGAGACATGCTTTGCAAGGGTCGTCAGTCACAACCAGTTGTGCAGCCTCAGATTCTTCAGTGAAACCACATTGTGTTTGCTGCATTGCTACCTACAACAAATGACAAGGCTGCACTTACTCAGTACATGTGTGCTTTACTGGCTTAGTTTATGTTTTATTTAGCTGGAGGCAAATTCCTGTATGCCAAGTGCTTTCTTAAATAATGAACAGTTGTATTCATGATCAGTTAGTCCGCTGATTACTTTCTCAAGTAATTGTTAAGTCTATTTAATATCAGAAAAATGTGACAAATCACACTTTCCAAGTCCAAGTAATGTCTTCAAGTAATTTGTTTTGTCCATCCAGTTTACTATCACCAAGTACTAAGACAACCTTTCAACACATTTAATATGTTAGATACTCACATAAGAGAAACTGAAACCAGAGAATTTGTGGCATTTTGGCTCTTAAAAATGAATTAAACTATTTTTTTAACCAGATGTATCAACTTCATTGTGTGAGGCATGCAGTCAAATTACTTAAGGGACCCTTGTCCCCCCACAGACATCTGTTGCTACACATTTAATTAACACACATCTCGGAGTATCATTACCGTATATTGCACATGATCTCTGTACTGTGAACTTTTACACATCCACTGATCAATATGTTTGCACATCCTGCACAAAACTGTTCTGCTCTTTTATTCTATTGTACATATTTATTATATTTTTACAGTATCCTTTTAATATTTGGTATTTCTCCTACATTTATGTTATTGTCTTTTACAGTACTTTGTCTTCATTTCCTACTTCCTCTTAATATGTTTATAGTATGTACCAAACACCAGGAAAAGTCCTTGTAAGTGAAAACCTACTTGTCAATAAACCTTTTATTTTTCAACCTGTTTTTTGACATTTCACAGACAAATTAATCGATTGGCAGCCAAACTGATTGGCAGATTAATCAGTATCATGTTGTCTGTAGCAGCCCTAATGTAATTTAAAGGCATTAATAAAATGGCGTTAGCTTGTTAGTGTCGTGTAAACAATATTTTAAGGTCTGAGCTCGACTGGTAACATTTAACAGTGAAACATTACAGACACATCACTGTTTAAACCGCTTATCTGTTTTCATCGTCGACATTTACACGATCAGATCTGACCAGTCAGCAGTGACGTTAGGAAACTCGTGAACATTATAACAGTCAGTTGTAGAAGTCGTACCAGCTGTTAGCTAACTGTTAGCTTCCTAGCTTCGTAACGTTAACACTGTGAAGCTAACTCGGGGTCTTGTTAGCAACATAAATAAAACAAATAGAGTGTTAACTGTACCTCGCTAAGGAAATGCTGCCGTGCTCGGTGGTGCTCCTGTGTTGGCTCGTCTTTCAGCTCCCTCTTTCCTGTTTGGTGAGGAGAGTTAATTAACAACTTGCGTCAGGTAGGTGCATGTTCACAGTTTAACACTCAACAGAGACTTCCGGTCTCTGAGGTCACGTGACTCCGCGGAGAGCTCGTCACTATAAAGTTCACAGCTTGTTTTATTTATGTTTTGTTGAGCCCCAACATGGTATTAAAAATAATAAATAATATATATAAAATTTTAGATGAATGTAACAATATAATATTCAGTAAATTGTTGATAAAAAATGATCC